TGGGGACAATATTGGTATTGTTAAAGTGGGGTGGGCCTGGCAATCCAAAAATTCCAACATGGTGAAATGGATACCTTGAGTAGGTTATGTGATGGTGCAAGTATTGTTGATCTTAAGCTAGCATACCATATGCTAATTACCGACAAAGGTGGAAGCCCTAAGTTTTTATTCAGAAGCATTTATCTTGGATGTACTTTAAGAATGATTTCTTCCTTCTTAATTGCTAGGTTGTTGAGCTGGCTTTTACAGTTTGAGTTGGAATTTCTTGTTGCTATAATTAGATTACTTGTGCAATTGGTTGGAAGAATTCAATCGGTCTTTCATGATGTATAAAAATATGTTCTTCATGAACTGCACTAAGTCTAAAGATGTTGATGACAAAGGTATTAGTTTTACTTGTCACTCGTTGAAGATAATGTACTATGTTCCTTGCAACAATCTCATATTTTGATACTCCAACCATGATATTAAGGGAGACAATCTTCTATCATGGTCATCTGTCAAGAAGTGTCTTGTTCAATTGGTCTTTTCAAATGGGCAATTTGCAGCACCACTGGTTCAAACTCACAGTTCCAACCTCATGCTTGGATCCTCCAATCATGAGTTTGAAGGGGAATGTTAAGTGTATAAGTGAATGGTTGAGATTAGGACATGTGTCACTTAATACTACAATAGTATATTAGATTGTTATACCTGTCAATATTCCTTTAGTTAGTGTAGTTAAGGATTGTATTGTACTACTATGAGTATAAAGTTTCACATGAATCATTGTAAACTTGATCATTAAGAAATAAAAAATTCCTATCTCTCTTTCTCTCTCTGTCTTCTTCTACTCTCTCTCTAAAAGTCTGCTTCTGCTTCTACATTTCTTCATATTAACAATAATGTCTCTCCACAACAGGAACGACGTGACTTGGATTCAATTTGTCACCTCTAGTTTTCTGTTCAAAATCTTCTTGATGCTAATCGAAGGTGGGGATGTAGAAAGAAGGAGAGAAGGAATACCTTAGTTGAGAAGGAGTTCCCGATGTGTAGAAGCATATGGTGAGATAGTTGGAGCAGTTGTTTTTGCTTTAGAGTGAAGTTCGCGAACTCGACTAAATAATACCAAGGTATTGGACGGGATAAGCAAGCAGGCGTAAGGGGTATAAAAAATGGTGGGGCTGGATTAATAATCCAGTGCTTATTTAGTCCAAAATTCACCAAACACCTGTTTCGTATTATATAGTATTATCCGATGTCTTATACGGTGTGCCAAACGAGGCCTTAGGCAATTATGGAAAGCATCCTAGCAACACTTGCAAATAGTTCCTCCTTTGGTTGCTCCCCCTTCCCTTAAATTTAAAGATTTCAATTTAAAGATTTCATTTGTACACTGGCGATATGTAAGCCGAAGTAAGATATCCTATTGCACAATCAGCTTGAAGTCAAGAGTAAAGTCGATCAGACCCCTCAAGCCAAACAATACACACTTGTAACTTTGATGAGAAATGTTAACGAGGCCTTAGACATCTATGGAAAGCATCCCAGCAACACTTGCAAATAGTTCCTCCTTTGGTTGCTCCCCTTCCCTTAAATTTAAAGATTTCATTTGTACACTGGCGATATGTAAGCCGAAGTAAGATATCCTATTGCACAATCGGCTTGAAGTCAAGAGTAAAGTCAATCAGACCCCTCAAGCTAAACAATAGACACTTGTAACTTTGATGAGAAATGTTAATTCACATTGCAGTTACTAAATGTTTTTAAAGCTGTCTGAAACCCTGAAACTTATCTTCCATAATTTCCTTATATGCATTATAACTGCAAGTGTTAGAGATTGCCGCTTTAATTAATTTTAGCTGAACTAAAATCACTGCTTGATTGCTTCAAATGGAGTCGTGGTTGTTCTCAGGTGGGAGGGGAAAAAGATGATGAACTGTTCATTTCCCTTCTTCTTATTTTTGTTTTTTGTTTTCATTTTTTATTTTTTAAGTTTTTAATTATACAAAAATAAAAAGTGTTTTTTCATTATTTAAATATTTTAATCTACATAACAATATTTAATTAGATCTGTGGGACCAAATATGTGTCATAATATAATTTTTATAAAATTGTAATGGAATGACTACATTGATTTGCGACACTCATTTTTAAAGACTATATTAATTAATTTTCAATTTCAAAAATAATTTTGATGAAATCAATCAATTTCAAAGGATATTTGTGATAAAAACCCTTTCATAAAAGAATCTCCCTTATCATGCCCCACAATTTAGTGCAATCACCAATGGTCGGCTCTATTTCCAAGAAAGAGAATGCTAGCAAAAATAATTGTAGATACAATGAATGTGATAAATTTTTAAATCTAACATGGTTCGCCACCAACATCACAGATATAATCTTCAATTTAATTATTTATTATTACGTGTGATATTTTATTACAAAAACTGCAGTGTACATTAGGTGTGAACCTCCCACATTGATCATTTTATAGCCTTTGAGGTTCGGGGGATGAAGAATTTTACATGCTTGAATAATTGGTTTAGACTATTCAAGGGTAGTGTTATTCACATACTTTTCTTTATCTCTCACACACCTTTGTTATTTTTGTCTAGTTATTTTTGTTTATGTTTGGTTGCGAAAGGTAGAAGCTTTCTCAGCTGAGCAATAGTTATGTTTCTTTTTCTCTAATTTGGATTTTGGTATGAGCTTGGGTTCTTCAAATTCAAGGTTTTTATTGGGGTACTTCCAGTTTTAGCTCTGATCACAGTGATGTGAATCAATTGGGTTCCATTAAAGTTGGAAGGTTTTGTGTAATTTGGGCTAAATTTGGAAGTTTTCAATCTGCATCGCACTTGCATCATGTGCTACCGATCTGTGAAAAAATAGCAAAATATTTGTTTATGTTTTGGGTGATCTTTTAGGGATTTCGTTTCATGAAGCTTTTGGGTTTTATGGGTGATCTGTGGTGTGTTTTGCATGTTTCTGGTGGCTCTAATGGTGAATTCCATATATTTTGGTGTAAATTTGTTTACTTCAAAGACTTTAACTTTATGTGTTGTGCAGGAAATTTCCCGTTATAGACGGTAGCGATCCGACTGGTCACATCATATCCACAACCATTGGAGGCAAAAATGAAGAACTGAAAAATAACCAAAACCCAACAAAAAAAAACAAACCGAAAAAAAATGGATTGAACCGAACCGAAATTTCAATTCAATTTCGATTTTGACAAAAAACCGAACCGATTTAAACCCAACCCAGCCCTACCTCGATATGCGTTTTCATACCTAAAAGTTATCCTAAAGAGAGTCTCTTGTGATTTTATTTCATATTGTTTATATCTTAGATTGCGTATTTGCAATATCAATTATAGATCACTTTAGAATATCCACCAACCAAATCAAATCACTTAAACAAATCGAGAAACAATAGTACTATTTAATAATAAAATGACATATTGATTGTAAAATATTAGAACATACTAAAAAATAGGGAACAAACATATAATGAGTGTTCATCCAAATATTTAACAAGTCTCTTACATTTTATTAACAAAAATAAAATCCAAAAAGAAAGTTATTGATTTTCTATCTAAGTGAAAGTCGCGACCTAGGTGCATCTAGACGGGTTTAAGCAGGTTAGGCCGACTCTTAAGAAGGTTTAGGCGGGCTAGGTCGACATTATGCGGGTCTAGACGCACTTTCTTAATTTTCAAACGCATAAGGACTAATAGGGGCAGTGGTTAGCCGATTAGCACCTAAGCGGTGGTCAGCCACCTAGCGCCTAGGCAACGTTGGAGATTTTTAGATCAATGCAAAATTTACTTGAATTCTCTAAAAATCAATGAAAAATCTATCAAAATTCATAAATTTATAAATATATTTAAATTCTTTAAAATCCCAATTAAATACGGTCATCGAAGTCTATATAGTACTTGTGCATTTAGCCACCTATATAAATTCGAATAACAGTATCAAGAGGTTGACTTCAACGTACTGGGGTTTGCTGAAGAATTACCTGGAATCCTGTTTCTGTTTGGACTTTCAAATAGTTGAGTTCAAAGTCTTCCATTATTGGAACACGGATTCTCTCTCTTAGCCCAATATACATTCCATTCATTTTCTACCGTATACCCCTCAATTTGGTTTTTATCACCAGTGCGCTGGCCGGTGTTCGAAGCCACTTGTCACAAGCATGGTCTAAAATATCCATAATATCCTGATATTTTCTTCGAAATTTTTGTGTTTTAGACTACCGATATTTTTTTGGACTACCGATATTTCCGATATCATCGATATTTTAGACCTTGCCAAGTTACTCATGTATCTTACCATGCAATGTATAAAGTGTAAAATATTGTACTAATTCATTATATATAAATGATTATGGTGTGTTTAAACTTCTTTCATTAATTACTACATATTTTCTACACTCACAATGTTTGACAGCTCGCTATATAATCAACTTAAATAAGTTATATTTATCATGCAATGCATTTCCTTCCAATTTTTTGTGATAAACTAATAGATAATTGACTAAATAAACATCTTGCAAAGTTTCAATAAAAATTTCCAAGTTTTTCTTACAATTTCCGTGGGTTTTATTCAATTTTTATCGATAATATCCCGATATTTCCATCAAAATTTCTGTATTTTTGGACTACCGATATTTCCGATATCATCGATATTTTATACCTTGGTCACAAGACATCTTAATTTGGACGAAATAGCAGCCATCACTTGCATTAGGTGCCTCATTTTAAATTTCTTTTAGACTAAGGGTCAATTTGGAATTGTTGTGTTTAAAAAAAAATTGTTTTTTGCTGTACTTTAAGAATAATTAACTTTAAAGTAAAGTAAATGAGCATTTGGTTAATTGTATTTTAAAAGAGTGTTTCTGACTTTCACAATATTCAAGATTCGGCATGTTCCTTTAATTGAGCGTTCCTTTAATTATATAAGGATTGTTGCTAGGGGTGGGCAAACGGGTACAGGAACCGCGGGTCGGGGCGGGTAATGGCGGTTCGGGGCGGGTACGGGCCGGTTCCTATTTTTAAAAAAGAGAAACGGGGCGGGCCGGGGCGGGCCTTTGTGATTTTCGGTTCGGGCCGATTCCTGGAATATAGGAACCGCGGGTACCCGGACCGATTTGTTTGTAATTAAAATGGACGGACCAGATTGATGAATAAGCTACCATATCTCATCTGAACCGTTAGTTTTAGTTTTACCCTAAGTTCTCTATCCGTCTCTCTCATCTCGATTCTCACTCTCTCACTCAGACTCTCAGTCAGTCCCTCGATAGTTCCCTTCCCTCGACTACTCCGATCATCCTCCCCCTCACCAACCGTCAATTCTCCTCGGCGAAGACAACGGCACCACCACCCATCATCCTTCTCGCCATCACCCCTGCAGTCGATTCTCTCCTCTTCGACAGCAATCCCCGCCGTTGTGACCGCCATCACCCCATCACCGTCGTCGAGAACACTGGTACCAGCCATCATCCCTCTAAAATTTAGGTAATTTTGAATTAGGGTTTTGTTATTAATTTGAAATTTTGAATTTTGGGTGTAGGGTTTTTAAATTGGAATTTGAGATTTTAGGGTTTTTTTTCTTCCGAATTCTGATGCCTCTGCATAACATGTTGTTGTATATGTGTATATATATACATGTGTGTGTTTGTGTGTTTATGCAGAATCCAGTGTTTACCTGCTCAAATTTCGACAATTGCAGGTATGATTTGCAAGAGCGTTGATTAGATGAATAGTATAGAATGGAGATTGTCTTCTAGTAAGATTAGTTTTGACCTCTCCTTCATTAATATATAGTTTACTTGTTTTGGACAGTCTCGAGCCTTGGGAATGATTCGTTCTCATGTACCTTCAGTTCTCAAAGGTGCTTCTTCTCAGGTAATGTTACCTTATTAAACTGAGTTACCATTAACACATTGTAGTAGACTTCAGTCTTAATATGCATTAGTGTATATTACCTGGCTTTGAATTATGGCCACTATCATCAGGTACAGGCAGCTATCCGGGGCAGTGGTGGCAATAATGCATCTGTTTCTGAGGGTGTAGAAGCATCTGTTATATATGTCCGTTTCAAAGCAGCAGCAAGTGAGGTAACATTGATGATTCTATTGAATTAGTTAAAATTTGATTAAAGCATTTAACCAACCAGGGTGTGAAAAGCTGAAAGCAAGATGTGTCTAAAAAGCATTTTTAGTTCTATCCAATTATTTGAAGCGGGCATGCAATTTTCTGCATTAAGTTTTTAACTTCACACTCGTTTAAGTGTTGATGTCTAACAAATAGAATCTCTGCAGCTTAAGCCAGTGCTGGAGGAAATTGAAAGCAGAGCATCAAGGAAAGAATATACTCAGATCCTTACAGAATGCCACAAACTATATTGTGAACAGAGACTTTCCTTGGTGAGCTGATGAATTTTTTATTTATATTTGAAAAGGATCAATAGTTGTTTACCATATTTGATAAGGATCATTAGTTGTTTTTCCGAATTCTGATGCCTCTGCATAACGATGCAATGTTATTTTAGATGTATTGAATTTGTACAACTACAATCTGTGTGTGCAGTACTGCAATCTGTGCTTTTTTTTTTTCAATCTGTGCAATCTGTGCACTGCAAACTGCATTCTGTGAAATATGTTCTTTGCAAACTGCAATCTGTTCTGTGCAGCAATTTGTGCAATTTTTTTTCAAACTGCAATCTGTGATTTTTTCCAAACTGGAATCTGTGCAGTTTTTTCAAACTGCAATTTGTGCAATCTGTGCAATTTTTTTTAAACTGCTATCTGTGCAGTTTTTTGAAACTGCAATCTGTGCAGCAAATATTTTTAAACAGCAAAAAAAAAAAAAAAGGGGGACCCGTGTACCCGGACCGAACCGGCCCGTTTCAATAGGGCCGGGTAAGGTCCGGTTCCTATTTTCAAAATTGTAATGCCCGGCCCGGCCCGCCCCGTCTCCTTTAATTCCGGGTCCAGTCCGGTCCCTTCAAAAATAGGCCCGGCCCGGCCCGTGCCCAGCCCTAATTGTTGCTACTCTCACAATTCATCCTTAATTCCAATGCTAAACCATATTAACTAGTAAGAGCATTTAATTGTAGAGAGTAGAGGACAATCCTGAGATCAATCTCAACAATGTCTTCGAATTCAAGAGGTAAGTTAACTTTTTTTTTTTTAAAATTTATATTCTTAGTTTATTCATCTGTGATCCTAATGTATTGTTAATATGTCTTACAGGTACATCTGATTTGTCTTAGCCTTTATTTCCAACAAAACAATGCTAGCATAATAAAAACGTATACTCGTAGTTTACAACGGATATGAGTATAGATGGTTGCATATTTTGCCACAGTAAACCATGATGTCCTGGTCTTCCCTCCCCTGTTGCTCAGAAAATTCGATACTAGTTACGTACGTGTGTGAAAATTGCACAGATTAATTTACTATATACTGAAAATATTCTTGAACACAGTTACTTTTGAGTAGTTAGTAGCTTGAAGAAAGAACTCAAAGCCAAATGGACCTGCAAATGCGGAAACAAGCTAGTTGAAACATGTACTATAACTTCCCTAGAAGTCATCAACATCCATGGACTATATATAAATCAACATAGGTACAGCCATCCATCGTCATATAATTGGTAGTGGAGGTGCATAATCACCTTTTGATTTTGGTAAACTATATAAAAGCAAACAATAACTAAACTTCTACGCGCATCTGAATTTTTCATCAATATCTTATATAACTTTCTCATTTGATTGAGATATGGTCCATGTAACATTACTCATAATCTGGAGAATTAGGATCATCATATGGAAGTTCAATGACGCAATAAAAACCAAGGATGGGCAACGAAATTACTCACGTCCCTATTCGTGAATTTGCTTAACACGATTAAGCCTAGCACTTGACTTAAGGAGGAGAAAACTCACTCTCTTTTTGGCATTTGGAGCCCTTTAAATAGGGACATAAGCTATATATAGAGGCGGCGCTGAGGGGGAGCGAAAAGTGCAATCGCACAGGGCCCCCAATTAGAAGGGCCTCTAAAAATTTTTGGTATCTTATATTTATATGTAATAATGTTATATATTAAAAAAATGCTTTTATTAGCACTTTAAAATCTTATAGTGCACTTTTATAAGTGTAAATTCTTTTTCTTTCTAACTATAAAAATTTGAAATGCACAATGAGATATTAGGAGTGACACACCCCGTCCCGAAGGAGGGCATGCTGGCCGTCACGTGAGAGTGACGTAACCATTTACACAGTTCGGAAGCTTTAAAAATACAATTACTAAGATGAAACACTCGATGGTGAGTCCTACATTTGTGAATTCTGTCAAAACACCGCTGGATTTCCTCGTGGCCACCAAAGCTCTGCAATCTAGAACCTGGAGGGGCGCAAAACAAAATTGAGTGGGTCAGTAAAACAAAGTTTTTCGAAAACCTTTCATTTAAAACATTTCTAACCCCTCACCGTAAAACCTGTATACGTTCCCAGAAAAATAGTATATAAACATATATATACACATATCATCAAAACTCAGCTCATATCCATCAACATAACATATCAGAAATAATATGCCACGCCATGCCAAATATAATCAGAAATGCATCAGTATCAATCAGGTGAAATAATAAATCAACCGGAGACCCTACAATGGTCCTGTACGGCTGATTCTAAAGCTCAACATCCCACTCAGCCGGAGTCACCACAGTGATCTATACGGCCTTACCGGAGTCACCAACTGTGACCTGTACGGCACTACACTGCACATCACTCGGAACTACGTATAGTAGTCTGTACGATGAAAGGTGTATAAATACGCTCTAGTGCTTCTCTCATCAATCATCAGCGCGCATAACTAAGGTCACCCACTAGTCGGAATCACATCTAGTGATCTATACGACTAGCATGTCGGAACCCTCACATGGTCTGTACGACATCCACCTACTTGGATCCAAGACGAGCGTGCGGTGTGGTAAATAATATAAACACTATCACCTAGGGTGCAGGTTATGAGCTTTCAATGCAATTTTCATCAAAATAACTCGTCTGAATAATATAAAAACTCACCTGTGCGTCCACCGCGTCAATTAACATATATATGCATCCATTATCAAACTAAATATCTCAACATTTGCATGCATGGCAATTTAAATCATAATTTTCATATAAACGCATTTTCTGGGAAAAACAGTTGTATATAGGTAATACGAAAACAAAACTATCCACTCACCTGGAGTTCGCCCTACAACTCCCTAGCACAATACTTCAAGGCGTCATGACGATCGGCGCCTAAAACCATAACCAAATCCAACCTCAGAATTCATATCGATAGAATATATAACTTATAAAAAATACGTCACTTCGTAGTTCGATCCGAAAGATCTGCAATTCAGATTTTAAATCCATAACTTCCAGAGGTCCACAATATATCTCTAGGACAACATCCTAAAATTTCATTACCATCCAACGGTCGGATCTCCGTCAATTTCCAAAACTAAGTGACGGTTAACATTTATTTTATGAACTTACAACTCCAATTCCAGAAGATCCGTAACTCGGATTTCCAATCCGTAAGTTCCTATAATCCTCAATTATTACGTATTACAACGTATCAAAGTTTGGTGACGATCCAACGGTTGGATCGTAAATTCACATTTTCGCCTAACCACGAATCTTAACTAATTTTAGGTTCAATTACTCAATTTACATCCAACCATTATCAAAACTGAACCTAGAACCTTAAACACATGCTAAGAATGACATTGGCGGGTCATTGGCCACGTGCCGCCGCATGGGCCGCCGCGGTGAATACTATATAAACGTTATTTAAAGCATATAACCAACAATTCTCAATAACTTCTCATACGGTGCTCAAATTGGGTATATGAATATACCACAGTGACCTACTCGACGTCACGGACGTCGACATATTTTTAAAATAATTTTTTGATGTGGTACGCGCCCCCACGCGCCAAGGACAGGCACGGTACACGCGCGGTTACGCGTAGGCCACGCGCCGTGCGTGTCATCTTCCTCACTGGGCTCGCCAGACTGGTTTTTCCGGTGGCCGGATTCCGGCGAGTTTTGTAATTCCTTGTTCTCCTTCATTTCTTAACCGTTTTCTTCGAATTTTATATCAATTTGAAGCCCTCAACATGTAGTTTCACGCTATACTACTTTAAAGCTCTAAAAATCACGAAATCTCACCGGAGAATTTCCAAGAAAATCGGCCAACTTCGAACTCGACGATCCTGACGTCCAAAACCCCCAAACGAACGTCCCCGAGCTTCCTTAGAACCTCCTAAAGCTCACTGTGAGCTTGGATTATCCTAAAAATCAACCAACACAAAGTTCATGAATAGTGCCACATTCGGTCATTGAGTTTTGAACGTGAAAACGAAGGATTTCTTACCTGAAAATGGTATCTTTGAGTTCGTATGACACTCGCGAACACGATGATACTAATCTCCACATCGATCCATTAAGTTTTGAAGGTTTTGTGGGGTGGTCCGTACGTTCGAGGGTGAGAGAGAGTGTGAGAGAGTCGTGAGGGAAGAGAGAGAGAGCACAGGTGAGGGAACGAAAGGTCATGCGCGTGTGTGTGGTGTGGTGTGGTCCAACCAAAACCGTTCACCACATTATTCCCTAGCCACACAAATCTTAGTACCCGCTAAGGGTACTTTCGTCATTTCACGCTCCCGATATAGAATTTTCGGGACGGGCTGTGACAAGGAGTGTTAATAACAACACCTTAAAAAATGATTTTCTTTTCAATTTTATTAATTATATAATAATGCTATATATTCAAGTGAAACTCTAAAATTAGAGTTTTTGAAGTTTTTTTTTCTTTATTTGGTTGCTTAAGATTGAACTGTTTTTATTATTTAGTGAAGATTATGTTTATAACTCTTTTTACTTATTGAATGACACTTGTAAACTTACAATCAGTGAGTTCTAAAGGTTGTTTTAATTTAAGTTATTATTTTCTAGTACCAATATATTGTCATACTTAAAAAAATATATATCTTAAAAAGGGACCCTTTTATAAATTTCGCACAGGACCTCCGAAATCTTAGAGATGGCCCTGGCTATATAGATAGAATATATCTAATTATAAAGAGAAGAAATATTATAGTTACTAGGCAACCCCATTAATAAGAGAAGATGCCAAAAGTTTTAAGAGATGAGAAGTCAAGAAAGCTTCAAATATATATTTATTCCCAATTCATTGCATCATTCTCCTCTTCTTAAAAAAAAAAAAAAAAAAAAAAAAAAAAAAAATCCTCATTGTGAGGTTTTTTTTTTCTTTTTCTTTTTTTCTTTCCATTTTTCACAATCTTTTGAATGACCTTTCAAATTTCTCCACAACAGCCAAAATAGCAAAAGGAAATTCAGAGTTGTCAAGTTGTTCCATCCCATAAAATATTCATTTGAACTCCATTTACACGTTATTAACAACTCACAACTATTCAAAGGTTGATTTCAACCTTAAGTAAGTTGAAATTAATCCACGGATTTTCTATGTTTCTACTTCTACCCCCTCAATTAAGTTAAGTGCTTTTTAGAAAGGTTGAAATTGTTCAAAAAGTGAAGATTAGTAGGGAAATTTACAGCAAATGACTTGGAACTTTTATGGGATTTTTTATTCTTACTTCCAATAAAATGTGCTTTAAAGCCCGCTACAAATTGTTTGAAACTGAAGATTGACCAAATCATTGCAATGTCATTTTAAAACTACTACCAAATCGTTGCAATGTCATTTTAAAACTACTACATCGCAGTTGCAATGTCAGCTCTCTGAAAAATTTCACGACCGTACGTAATTCATCTTCTCCACTCTATTGGGCCCAAATTTATGTGCACCTAAGTCCAACAAAAAAATTGTTTACTGAAAATGACTAAAATGAAATAAAATTTGTAAGTTAAGCCTAGCTTAGTGTGCACGATTTTAAATTTATAAATTGCGGTTAGCATTCGCGTTTGTAAGTCGCGCGTGATTAAAAAAAGCCCTTAACACGCGTGATGAAAAACTAATTAATTAATTAAAGCTAAGAGTTCACCATTTATATATTCTTATAATACAAAGTTGACGTAACAAAGGGGTATGAACTATCAACTATGAAGCTGTCCACTACCACATCTTTTAGAATCCTAAACTAGATAGGAGACTGAACAACTTTTAAACTAATTAGGATGGTATTTTGATTAGTTTGAAAATAACCTAGATCCCCTCTTATCTGGAGTTATTTCCTAAAACAAGTAGGATTACAATTGAATTCTTCCGTCCCCGATATATATTTGTTAGCCCATCCACACAACTATAAGACCCTAGTTTACACTTCTTCTGAATAGAGATACAATTGCTCATTTAACAGCTGCTTGTCGAGTACAGCCATGGCAGTCAAAGGGATTGAAGTCCATCACGAAAAGTATCGCTTGGACTTTTACATTACACCGCTTGACTACAACAACGTAGGTGGCTACGAGCCTTCCTCACCGTCGGTTCAGTATGTAGTGAAGTTTGACTACCATGTCAACCACGCATACTTCGACGTTCATTCCTCGGCCGATATTGGAACCCGTCGTCGAACCCTAATCGACCAGTATCATGAACAAGAGGAGAAACCAGTCAAATTTGACCAAACGGAATTAAAGAGCTCTGACGAGGAGCTTCTTTCGGATGCGGTTTCGTCATTTGGAATCGAAAGATCAGGTGAGCATGGTGAGTTGCACAATGATATAATGGATATGATTATGAAGCGGGGTTGCGAAACTGAGCAACATAAGATTTGGATCAAGGATGTAGAGGTATCGGGGTTATACGTTTATGTAGGAAAATCCCATGACATGTATCGGTGTGGGGAGTGTACGCTGAAGAGGCGTTTGGAGGAAGCAATAGAGGTGGTTAAAGAGAGAATAAGAAAGAGAGATGTAATTAGGGCGTGTGATGATGTGAAGGAGGAGGAGGGTATCAATCCGACGAACAAAGAAAAAGATGGAGGAGATCCGACCAAAAAAGAAAAGGAAGGTAGAGCGAGAAAAAGAAGAAGAAGAAATAAATACTACAAACCTGCTCGCAAGAGAAATATTAGGGTAAAGTGATGATGTGAAGGAGAGCTTGCGCACATGTGTTTCAATGCCAATTGTTTAGTGTGCCTATCGATTGAAATCTCTGCTTAATACAATTTTTTCTTTCTTTTTGTCATAAACTACAAGAAGAAGTGTGTCTACGACATATCTAAATAACAGAGAAAGTAAGAGACTGATAAACATGTCGATTGAGTCTTGTATTTTCATGCCCTTTTGCTTTTCAATTATATATATTGGTCATCTTGCTTGAATATTATGGCTTAATTTTGTGTTCTTAATTTCTTGGTTGGTTGGTTGGTTTGTTCCATTAATTCTGATAATATACAGTTTTTCTTTTAGCTCTTCGTTTAACTTGATATTATTTATTCAAAACGTTCAAAAACTGTGAAGTACATAATATGAAAACACTCGATATGGATATCCAATTTTGCAGGTTTGAATAATTGAGAGATAACATGAAAACATTGAATAAGGATATTCAATTTTGTTTAACATAAGAAACCCAATTTTTTTCAGCTCCCGTGGGAAAACGAAAAAACTGACTAAATTAACAAATAAAACCCAGCTCTAAGTAGCTTGTACAAAGACTCCCAAGTCCAATATAATGTAAAACTAGGCCAATAACTTACAACACAACACTAAATTCTAACGGCCCATTCCTGGTCTTGGATTTCTATCAGGTGAAGACGGCTTCGACCCAGTCACTGGCCTAAGGCTGCGGCGAACGGGTATTACTTGTTGATCAATATCACTTTGACATTCAAAGCAACCGTCGTCAACCATATGAGCAAATCACAAGCAAGAAATTAATTACCAAATAAAATCAAGGCATTAATTTGGTGAAGGATATTTAAATTTAATTTAACTAAAGTCAATTAAAGTTTCCAATACTTAGAGATCTCAAAAACAAGGAAGATAATTATTAATTACCGTGAGGAAGAAGTCCACAAGTTGCTAGGCGATCCCCCATAAGAAGCAACACTAATGTTGCAATGACCACCAGGTTTGCTGAAGAACCATTCATCATTGGAAGCAGAAACAATAACTTCGAAAATCCTGTCACCGCAACGTTAATAACGATGATATTTATAGACTTTAACTTTCAAAAGGTTGACCTCTAAGTCTTCCATTCTTTTCGTCCCATATTTAGCTTTCATTTATTCTAATAGCATATTCTTTCATACGTTCATTGAAGGTAGTGTACATTTTAATTCTTTAAAAATTTAATGTCACTCAGACTAAAACTTAATTACATAAAAGAATCTCACTTATCATGCTCCTCAATTTAGTGCAATCACCAATATGTGTTGTGACAACTAACTTGTCACAGACTCACAAGTCCCCTAAGAGCCGTTTGGTAGGATGGCTGGCAAGGACAGGTTGTAAACATTTAAAATGGGTTCTTACCACACCTCTTAACTTTTGGTCACTAGACTAAATAAATCAAATAAAGATAACGGACATAACTAAATAAGTGTGTGAAAGGCTATAAAAGGAGTGTGTGTTTATTATTTTTCTTAATTACCAGGAGGAAGTAATATACATGTTGTTCAAAAATCTTGCACAAGAAGTAATAGTACTAGTGCTACAATTACCACCGCCAACTTAGCCGGAAAACCACTCACTTCCGGTAGCTAGCAGAAAAAATAACTTTGAATATCCTATCACCAGTGCACCGGTGTGAGAAGTCACTTGTCACAAGTCTACTAAAATATGAGAGACATCTCTGGACGAATAAATCATCACTTGCATTAGGTGCCTCATTGTATTTTATTTTATTTTCCTCCACTAAAATTTTCACGTCTTACGTACCAGCTTATATAAAATAAAAATAAAAATCATTTTGGAAATGAATCAGATTGTTTTGCCATATTTCAATTTAATTAATGTATTCCGAATGTTAAAAAATGAGAGAAAAATTTGAGATTAATCCACAATCAAGAATCTGAAAAAATGATAATCCCTATAAAGGCCGTATATGTAATTCTATTTATCAAGGCAGTTGGCAGAAGGTTCCTGTGCTCGGTCAAGCTTTGCAGCTGAAAGGTGCCTTCCAACAATGCAAATGGTCTTGGATTTCTAGATCTGCTAATTTGTGGCTGACAGACTTGCATTTGTAAAGATTTTAGAGATGAGCAACTATACTTAGATCGACAGACTCCAATCTTCGATTGTTCATATTCTGAACAAAGATGATCTACTTTGCCCACATTAAGTCAAGTCTAGATAAAGGGAGTTAAGGGGACATAACGTTGTTGCTTGTGTCGTTCCCTGGCCTTGTTTCTCTTTTCTTTTTTGGTTAGTTTTTTTTGTTAGTCCTTGATGTGGACTTTCCTTTTTACCAAAAATAAATAAATAAATAAAGGTCGTATACCATAGTTGACCAGCCAACAAAAGTTGAAGTAAAGTGATTGATTAGTTTATTCTTTGTCGATACCATATTTTCAAAAGAAAATTAATTAAAAAGGTTTGAAAACTTTGAATTTTAACGATAAGAACAAAATAAAGGGTAAAGTGAATAGTACTAAGATTGACTTTTAGTGTAAAAATATGATTTGTCGTTAAAATGAATAGTACCAGAAATTTTTCGTTAAAACCCTATTTTCAATGGAAATTAAGTATTCTCACAACTGGTAGCCGTGGTAGCACTATTTCCAAGAAAGAGAATGCTAGCAAAAATACTCGTAGATACAATGTATACCAAGTTAAATTAAATATGGTAAATACCAAAAATATATATCTGACAATATTTGGTAATGTTTTGTATATCATTAATCTTTAAAGTGGAATATATAGGAGTTACAATTGATATTACATATACACTTTGTCAATGTGAGACAACAAACTACTATTTACATTTTAACTAATATATAACTCGCAACATGTATTTGATAAATTTTTAAGTTTGGCACTGATATTGTTTTCAATTTAATTATCTATTGTACGTGTGAGATTTTATCACAAATGATCTCAGTGTACATTAGGTGTGACCTCCCACGTTGATCATTTTATAGACTCTGCATGGTTCAGGAATGAAGAAGAATTTTACATGACTGAATAATTAATTTAGATTTTTCAAGATTAGTGGCTGGTTTGGTATTGTTGTGCTTTGATAAAAAAACTGCTTCTGCTGTGCTGTGAGAATAAGCTCATTTTTGCTGCTTCACGTTTTCAACTTTTTTCACCCAAAACTGTGAAAATAAGCTATTTTAAAGTGTTTACCAAATACCTTTTTGAGCTCATCTTTTTTTGATACCCACTTTTTATAAAAGCACCTCAGTACTAAACATGTACTTAGTCACACACTCTTTTTTACCTCTCACATACCGTCGTTAATTTTGTCTATTGATTTTCTTCAAATCATTGGATCCAACAACCAAAACTTGAGAGGGTATGTAAGAGGCTCTTGTTCAAAAAGTTGACGGTTTTTTATGCGGGGCTAAAAAGGTTAACGAATTGCCGCTTAATACAACGATCTAGTAGTATTCCTCTTCACTTGTAAGTGAGCGGTCTTATGTTTGATTCTCGCCAAGGCGAATTTGAACTACATTATTGCTAGTCCATTATGAGTCTAAACTCATCTTCCTCCCCCTTAGCGTAAATAAGATCGTTTATTTAAAAATAAAAATAAAAAAAACGCATTTGGCTTCAACTTAGACTTTTTAGTCCCATAACTTTCATTCTCTGTACCCCCTCAATAAGCTTTTCCACGCTTAAGAGCTATCCTAAAAGAGAGACTTAGGTGAATTTATTCCATATTGTATATCTTGGATTGAGTTTTTACAACATCAAATATTGTTCGCTTTTTAGGTGAATTTATTCCGTATTGTATATCTTGGATTGAGTTTTTACAACATCAAATATTGTTCGCTTTGGAATATCCACCATCCAAATCAAATCACTGAAACACATCAAGAAGCAATGCCTAACCAAAGATTGTTCACTTTGATACGATTACACTTTAGATTAAAAACCTTCAAATTCAAATCACTTAACCTATTGACTTATTAATGGAAGAAGAGTATCTCAAATTCAAATCACTTAACCTACTGACTTATTATTGGAAGAAGAGCATCATATGATTTCTCAACTAAACATCAACGGACAGGTCTGGCGGTGCCGGAACAAACTGGCTGTGTAATCCACTTCTTGTGGGTGAAGGTGGCTTTGGCAGGTTGATTGGTCTCAGGCTGCGTCGGATGGGCAATATTATAGCAGTAGTCTTGCTAAACATCTCATTTTGACATCCAAAGCAACCTTCTTTTGTGACCTTTCTCGTGCCATCTTTATTGTCAACATGCGATATCAAACTCTAATGATGATCACCACCTTCAACCACACAACAAAATCACACCAAGCAAGCAAGAAACTAATTGTTACCAGATGATCCAGTCGAGAAAATAGCGAAGCATAAAAAGAAATAACCATGAGGAAGAGGAAGATATTATTATTTACCATGAGGAACTAATGCACAAGTTGCTCGGAGATCCGCCAAAAGAAGAAGCATTAGTGCTGCAATTACCACCAACTTTCCTGGGAAACCATTCTTCATCACTGGAAGCAGGGAGAAGCATAGATTTTAATAGACTTTGGATGGTTGGTTGGGATGAAGAAGAATTCCATGCTTTAATATTTTCAATAGTTGACGAATTTGTCTTTCACACTTGCAAGTATATCCTAAAAGAGAACTGATCATGTGGAACCTTAGAGCAAGGGAAAAGAAGACAAGGGACCTAAACCAAGTGAGGTGCATCAAGGATGAGGATGGAAAGGTTCTTGCTACAGAGAACGCGGTTAAAGATAGATGGAGAGGTTATTTTCATAATCTTTTCAATGAAGGGCATGAAAGGAGTGCTTCTTTAGGGGAGTTGAGTAACTCAGAAGAGTGTAGAAACTACTCTTTTTATCGTCGAATCCGGAAGGAAGAAGTGGTTGTAGCTTTGAAGAAGATGAAGCATAGAAAAGCAGTAGGCCCAGACGATATACCAATCGAAGTGTGGAAAGTTTTGGGAGAGACAGGTATAACATGGCTCACTGACCTTTTCAATAGGATTTTGAAAACGAAGAAGATGCCAAATGAGTGGCGAACGAGCACTTTGGTGCCTATCTACAAGAATAAGGGCGACGTACAAAATTGCATGAACTATAGGGGTATTAAGCTAATGAGTCATACAATGAAGCTCTGGGAGAGAGTCATTGAGCATAGATTGAGGCAAGAGACACGGGTTTCGGACAACCAATTCGGGTTCATGCTAGGGCGCTCTCAACCATGGAGGCAATCTATCTCTTACGAAGATTGATGGAAAGATATAGAGATGGGAAAAAGGATTTACACATGGTCTTTATAGATTTGGAAAAAGCGTATGATAGGGTCCCAAGAGACATTCTTTGGAGGATTTTAGAGAAGAAAGGAGTACGAGTAGCATATATCCAAGCTATAAAGGATATGTATGAAGGAGCAAAGACTGCCGTAAGAACTCATGAAGGACAAACCGAAAGCTTTCCCATAACTGTAGGATTACATCAAGGCTCATCCTTAAGTCCTTACCTTTTTGCGTTGGTAATGGATGAGTTAACAGGACATATTCAAGATGATATTCCTTGGTGTATACTTTTCGCAGACAATATAGTGTTGATAGATGAAACTCAGGAAGGGGTAAATGCAAAGCTTAACCTTTGGAGAGAAGTGTTGGAATCTAAAGGTCTTCGCCTAAGCCGATCAAAGACAGAATATATGGAGTGCAAGTTCAGTGCAAATGGAGGCCAAAACGAGTTAGGGGTGAGGATCGGAGATCAAGAAATACCAAAGAGCGATCGTTTTCGTTACCTAGGATCTATCTTGCAAAAGAACGGAGAATTAGATGGAGATCTCAACCATAGAATACAAGATGGATGGATGAAGTGGAAGAGTGCATCCGGCGTGTTGTGTGACCGCCGTATGCCACTGAAGCTCAAGGGAAAATTTTATAGGACGGCAATAAGGCCGGCGATGCTGTATGGCACAGAATGTTGGGCGGTGAAGCATCAACACGTACACAAAATGGGTGTAGCGGAGATGAGGATGCTTTGTTGGATGTGTGGGCTCACAAGAAAGGATAAGATTAGGAATGAGGATATCCGGGGTAAAGTAGGAGTAGCCGAAATTGAAGGAAAGATGAGAGAAAATCGGTTACGGTGGTTTGGACATGTGCAAAGAAGGCCTACTGACGCTCCGATTAGAAGATGCGACTATGGGACAGAGGTTCAGGGCCGAAGGGGTAGAGGAAGACCTAGGAAAACTTTGGAAAAGACTCTAAGAAAATACTTAGAGTACTTGGATCTAACGGAGGACATGACACAGGACCGAGCACAATGGCGTTCAAAGATTCATATAGCCGATCCCACTCAGTGACTTGGATTTTCCAAGTCTCCAACCGAGAAGTTTTCCTCAGTCGGGAAATTAAGGGAATACTACCTCAACCTACATGCTCTACTCACAAAGCTTCAACTTACAAGCTTCAACAAAAGAAAATTCAGAGAATTTAGCGAAGAAGGCTTTGGTGTATTTAACACAATACGTTGAAATGAAGGAAAGCTATTTATTGATATCCCCGATAAGTCACAAATATGTACATATACATGAGTCAAAATAAACAAACAAGAGGGAGCCTTCACAAAGGTTGCTTAAGAGAAGTCTCAACAGTCGGTAGAGCCCCAGAAAGAGCAGGCACTGGAGGGGGATCATTTGGAGCCTCAGTACTGGACAGAACCCTAGAAGGAGGAGGCAGCAGAGGTTGATCATTTGGAGCTTCATTACGCAGTACAGCCCCAGAAGACGAAGGCAATAAATGCCTTTGGAACAAACCCACAAATCTCTGATGATCAAGTAAAACCTGACCATCAGATTCCTTCATCTAGTCAAGCTTCCTCTTCATGTTTGTAGCATAGTCATGTGCGAGCCGGTGCAACTGTTTATTCTCATGCTTGAGCCCTCTAATCTCCTGTTTGAGACTCATCACTTCAGTCGCCAATGATTCAACTTGGCGGGTTCGAGCAAATAGGCATTGGGCCATGTTAGACACAGAACCTGCACACTGAACACTGAGAGCCAAAGAATCCTTAACAGCCAACTCATCAGACCGTTTGGAAAGTAGTCTGTTATCTTTGGGAGTGAGAAGGTTCCTGGCCACTACCGCAGCGGTCATATCATTCTTAATCACGGAATCCCCAACGGTAAGAGGACCAGTAGGGGAGACGAAGGATGGGCGCCATATGTTGTCTGGAGAAGGCGTGGCTGCCTCTTCAACAAGGTTCAAGTCAAAACGACGGTCGGAGGGGCCAGACATTTTCAAAGGTGTTGAAGAGAGAAGAGGTCGGACAAATCAAGATCTTAGAAGTGCAAGAATGGAGCTTATACTGGTGGAGATTCAAGTGTGCTTTGGAACTTAATGCCAGCCTCTATAAAAATCTGCACTCGACGGAGCTTCAGAAATCGAAGAGGCGTTTGCTTTCTCAAAAACTGGGCTGCTCAGAGACCACGAGATGTTTGATTTCTCAAAAGTTGGGCTGCTCAAAGACCACGAAGGCCGATCTCAGAAATCGAAGAGGCGCTTGCTTTCTCAAAAGCTGGGTTGCTCAGAGACCACGAGGGCCGATCTCAGAAATCGAAGAGGCACCTACTTTTCCAGCCTTGTCAGCACCTGTCAGCTTTGCGGAAATTATGGGCATTATGTCGAAGATTTCTGGTGAAGTAGAAAGCACATGAATCTTACTGTTCAATCACCCACTTCCCACACGCAACATTAGCTTATGGGTACCATAGATAACTTTGCCAAAGTTCTCTGACAAAGTTGAGACACGTGAAACTTGTAGCTCCCACTACACCGCTTTGACCAAGAAGGGTAAAAGGATAGCAAAGAAACAGCACTAACAAAGTTTAGACACATAAATTTTGAAGGTCTAGCTACCATATTATTACCCACAAGGGTAAAGGAACAGTACCACTGCTGGATAATTGGAAAGTCCCTGTGTGTCAACCTCTGTGCTTCGTGGCAAGATAGACTAGCAAACATGCCCAACCTTTTCTCACATTCGAGAAAACACTCCCAACAAGATTGCTTGCTCCAAAATCGAAGAGGCACCGCCCTCCGAATCTCGAGAGCCAGACTCCCAACATGATTACTTTCTCAAAAATCGAAGAGACACCGCTCTCCGAATCTCGAGAGCCAGACCCCTAGCAGGATTGCTTTCTCAAAAATCGAAAAGGCATCGTTCTCCGAATCTCGAGAGCCAGATCTCTAACAGGATTGCTTGTTCGAAAACCGAAGAGGCACCACTTTCCCAACTTCAAGAGCCGGATCTCCTTGGATAGAGCTTGTCTGTAATCTTTACACGAAACATCAGCTTTCCAGATACCACAGACCACTTTTTCAAAGTGCTCTGACAGAGTTAAAACTTGTGAAGCTGGCAGCTCCCACTACCGTGTTATGACCAAGCAGGGTAAAAGAATAGCATTACTACTTATTGTTAGGGAGACTCCTATATATGTTGACCTCCATCCCCAACAGACAGGCAGACCTGGAAAAATGCTCAACCCTTCCTCATATCTGAGAGGGCACTCCCAAAGAAGCCTTTCGAAATATTCAGCTTTCTTTCCCCCCGATAATACCTCTGCAAACAAGCTATACTAGAGCAAGAATATCTTATATCATCAGGGTTAAAAGCAAGAGTATCCCATATCATGTTTTTTCCCTGTCTTTTTCTTTGTCCTTGATCTTACCTGCAAGACAAGGAGAAAGAGAGCAATCAGTCAGCACTTGGAATCAAGCTTCGAGTCAGGAACTGACTGCCTGGAACCCCTTACTTGATTACTTACCTGGCATTGCTCTCGAGTACTCATCTTTAACATCTTATGCTTCTAGGGAAGATACCGCATCTGCCTGAGGAACATATAGGGCAAGTGAGAAGGATACAAGGAAGCATGTGGAGACAAGCGTAACAGCACACATGCCGATACATCCACTACTCTGTCAAAAGCAAAAGTATCTCATATCAGCAGGGTCGAACGTACTATAGATTTGATGGACTTGTTTTGACCCTCAAATTCTTCAATCGGCCTTATACTCTGGAGGAAACCAGAAAACCCTCCAGCCCAGTTCAAGAATAAGCCTGTGGAAAGTTACTTCTTAAAAAGCAAAAGTATCCCATATCATCTCTTCTCATTTTTCTTCTCTTTATCCTTCATGCTGCCTGCAAGATAGGGAGAATGTGAACAATCAGCCGGAACTCGAAATCAAAGTTCTGATCTGGGACTGATTGCTTGGAGCTCTGATTGCTTACCTTGTCTGTCACCTCTTTCAGCAGATCCCCTAGCTCGGCGACTTGGAGGACTCCTACTACATGGTTTGTATCGCGCTTGACCAAGCCTGAAACTACAAGTAAGCTTCAAGTGAAATTGATACATTACCTTGTGCATCTCCACCAGTGAAAGATACCACCCCTGGATGGAGGAAGAGTACTTCCAGAGAAGATGCCACATCTACCTACTAGACGCCACATCTACCTACGAGACAGATAAGGCAAGTCAAGATGATACCACACTCCGGAACTTAGAAGTTTCGTGATTACGAGATCATTCTCCCACAATATTTCCTAATGTCATTTGTACTAAATCATTCACTTGTACTCACTAAAAGAGAGCTTGAACCTATGTACTTGTGTAAACCCTTCACAATTAATGAGAACTCCTCTATTTCGTGGACGTAGCCAATATGGGTGAACCACGTACATCTGGTGTTTGCTTTCCTATCTCTATCCATTTATATACTTATCCACACTAATGACCGGAGCAATCTAGCGACGATCACAAAAGCGACCGTTTTCGCTACCTAGGATCTATCTTGCAAGAGAACGGAGAATTAGATGGAGATCTCAACCATAGAATACAAGCTGGATGGATGAAGTGTAAGAGTGCATCCGGTGTGTTGTGTGACCGTCGTAGGTCACTGAAGCTCAAGGGAAAATTTTATAGGACGGTAATAAGGCCAGCGATGTTGTATGGCACAGAATGTTGGGCGGTGAAGCATCAACACGTACACAAAATGGGTGTAGCGGAGATAAGGATGCTTCGTGGGATGTGTGGGCACACGAGAATGAGAAGATTGTGAATGAGGATATCCGAGGTAAAGTAGGAGTAGCCGAAGTTGAAGGAAAGATGAGAGAAAATCGGTTACGGTGGCTTGGACTTGTGCAAAGAAGGCCTACTGACGCTCCGGTTCGAAGATGTGACTACGGAACAGAGGTTCGGGGCCGAAGGGGTAGAGGAAGACCTAGGAAAACTTTGGAAGAGACCCTAAGAAAAGACTTAGAGTACTTGGATCTAACGGAGGACATGACACAAAACCGAGCGCAATGGCGTTCTAGGATTCATATAGCCGACCCCACTTAGTGGGAAAAGGCTTTGTTGTTGTTGTTGTTGTATATGAACTTATACACTTTTTTAGTTTGTCATATGACCTAAACATTAAGTGATTTGTCATATCAACTTGCGAAATTATTATTTGTCATCTCACCCTAACTCTATTAAGTTTCCAACCAAAATAATTCATGTGCAAGGTACATGAGTTGTGTTCAATGTTATTTCAAACGTTTCAACATCCTACTGTCCTTGTAATAAATTGCCTTTGAGGAAAATAATTCTAGGATCTGAGGGTTTGCCATTCAAAAAAGGGAACGACCTGGAGTCACTTCTCTCGTGTTTCGAAGTGAAGATGACTAAAAATATATAGTCATTACAAAGCCTCCAATCTATGGTGAGGTTAGATGATATTTTAATGTTGAAATGTTAGAAATAACCTTGAACACAAGTCATGTGCAAAGCATGTGACTTATTTTAAATGGAAAACTTGACGGAGTTCGGGTGAGATGACAAATTAATGATTTTAGAAAATTGATATGACAAATTGAAATTGAAAAAAAATGTATAAGTTCATATGACATTTTAAAAATGTTCCCTTACAATATTAAATTTTAATGTTTTAGGGGCGCAATTAATCATGATATTAAATGACTCTCTGAAATTGTAAGAGTATCCAATCTTGATTTTAACAGAGTATATGAAAATCTCACAGAAATCTGAATGTATTCAATTAGAACTTAAAAGAATTTATAAAAGTATATGTGTATTCAATTAGGAATTACGCTCTGTTTGGAAACAAATGCATAAAATGAGAAAATTCTCTCTCAATGACTCCGTCACTCTACATCTCAAAAAACATATACCTAATATAACAGGTGGCAGCTCTTCCCCTTCTCCTCCTAGCTTTTCATCTCTTCCCCATCTCACTCAGCCTTCCCTCCCCTTTGTCTCTCTTGGATTGCACTGATTTTTTTAGTACATTCTCTCATCTTCTAGTTCCTCCTCCACCATTTTGTAATCAGCCGTGTCCAGATCAAGGTCGTACCTATCTTAAGGTCTCTTCTTTGTTTTGGGTCTTGATTTGAGCTTAGGGGTGGATTTGTGGTTGTTGGTGGGCAAGGCCACCATTGTCAGCTTGATTTCATGGTGGTAATCCTGTCATCGAGCCAATTTTGTTGCTACACGACTTGTGCTTTCAGATCTGGTAGTTTTGCCACCCTGTTCAACCAGATATGGCAGCAATGTTAGTGTTCTTGGTTTATCTAAATTATGCGATATGGAGATAGAGAGAGGATTGAAGGATGCAAAAGGAATGAATGTTCTTATTCTCTCTAGCTGAAATTGCAGAGAAGAATATATTTCTCTTAATGGAAAAATGAGCACAACACACGTGCATTTCATGAATGTTAGCCTCAGCTGGATCCACACACATCACATTTGATCTCAGCCACACATCTAGCTAATTTCTAGGATCACTACACATGGCTATTTTAGCCTTACATATTGGAACCTCACACTTGTCATTCTAAAAGACTAAGGGCTGGTTTGGTATAGCTGTGCTTTGAAAAAAAGCTGCTGTGAGAATAAGCGGCTGTGCTGTGAGAATAAGCGGCTGTGAAATAAATCAGCAGAGTGTTTGGTAAACTTTTTTGTAAAAGTGCTTTTGGAAAAAAAAGTAGTCTAATAGTAGGTCTTTTCATTAAAGAAGCACTGTAGCTCCGTGTGCTTTGAAAAAAAGCCAGTTTTCCAAAGCTACAAATAGCAGCTTCAGCTTTTTCCTTTGATTTCAGCTTATTCTCACAGCAGCTTCCAAAATAAGCCTTTTTTTTTCAGTTTACCAAACACCTAAAACCCTCACAGCTTTTTTTCATGGGTGCTTTTTTTTTAAGCACCTCACTCCCAAACTAGGTCTAAGTGCATACACAATTAACATTCAAGGCTTCTTATTTACTAATCAGCTTCTTACTTATAATTCTACCCTCCCCTTTAAGTTTTGAGCTGGTTTCACTCCAAGTTTATCCCTGAGATAGTAGAATCGATCCTTAGCTAATGACTTTGTGAAGATATCAACCAGTTGCTCATTTGTAGGGCAGTAAACCAGATTAATGATTCCTTCTTGTAAAGCATTCTTGATGAAGTGATATCTTCGATCGATATGCTTAGTCTTCTGGTGAAACACATGGTTCTTTGTGATGGCAATTGCAGCAGTATTGTCACATTGAAGTGGAGTAGCCTCAGCTTGAAATTCACCAAAATCTTCCAACACAAACCTGAGCCAAATTGATTGTGCAATTGCCTCTGATGCACTAATATACTCTGCTTCAGCAGTAAAGAGTGCTACACAGTTCTGTTTGATTGAAGCCCAAGAAAAAATCCCACTGCCAAAAGAGAAAACATACCCTGTGGTGCTTTTACTATCATCAATTGAACCACCCCAGTCACTGTCACAGTAGCCAATTAAGATTGCATTTCTTCCTTCCACATACTCCAAACCATAATCAAGAGTTCCTTTGATGTACCTGAGAACTCTTTTTGCAGTTCCATAGTGTTTATTAGTGGGGCAGTGCATGAATCTAGCAAGTAGACTAGATGCATACATCACATCAGGCCTTATGGCTGTGAAATACAAAAGACTTCCGACTATCTTCCTGTATTGTTCTTCATTTGCTGGACCACTACCATCATATTTACTCAGCTTTTCAGTTGTAACCAGAGGTATAGAGACAGGTTTACAGTCACTTAAGCCAAATTTACTCAACAAAGATGTAGCATACTTTCTTTGATAAACAAAGATGCTTATGTGTGTTTGGATGACTCCCATTCCCAGAAAATGATGCACGAGCCCCAAATCTGTCATTTCATACTTTGTCATCATGTCTCTCTTGAATTCCTCCAACATTGGTTAACTATTCCCTGTGTACACAATATCATCTACATATAGAGACATAATCAGAATTTTTGCTTCTCCTCTGGTTTTGGTATATGAAGTGGCCTCACTTTGACTCTTCTCAAATCCACATTGAGCAAAATAAGAGTCAATTTCACTATACCAAGCCCTTAGTGTATGTTTTAAGCCATACAAAGCTTTATGAAGCTTGTACACTTTGTCTTCACTCCCTTTGACCACAAAACCATCTGGTTGTTCTACATAAACCTCATATTCGAGTACTTTATTCAGAAAAGCAGATTTTACATCTAATTGGTACATTCTCCAACTCTTATGTGCTACCAATACAACTATTGTTCGAATTATATTGAGTCTAGCCACAGGTGCAAAGGTATCATTATAATCAACACCTGGTTTCTGAGCATAGCCCTTGGCTACCAGCCTTGCTTTATTCTTCTGCACTGATCCATCAAGATTAAGCTTGGTCTTGAACACCCACTTAACCCTAATTATAGGTTTATCAGTTGGTCTGTCCACTAGCTCCCATGTTGCATTTTTTTCAATCATTGACAATTCATCTTTCATAGCCTTCATTCATGATTCATCCTTGGTTGCCTCATCAAACTTTTCAAGTTCCATAATGTAGAGATTGCATTGAGCTAGAACATCATCCAAGTTCCTCCACCTCAATAGAGTATGATCAAATGCTTGAGATTTTCTCATGCTGCTACTTACATCACTTGTTGATTCATAAGAAGATAACAAACTTGGTGACTGAGCATAGTCATGACTTTCAAGAGTCATCTCTGGTAGTGATTGAGCATAATCATGACTTCCAAGAGTCGTCTCTGGTGATGTAGCTTTAGGCAGCTCAGATAACTCATCATGATTGATCACAGTTGCATAATTCTCAAAGACATTCTTCCAATCCCAAGTTGCATATTCATCAAACACAACATCCCTTGAGAGTATAATCTTCTTAGTGACAGGATCATACACTTTGTACCTTTTTTCACAGGTTACATAACCTACAAATATGCCCATGATACTCTTTGCATCTAGCTTATGTCTCAATTCACTTGATAGGTGCACATAACACAAGCAACCAAGATTTTAAGATGTGCAATCCTTGGTTTTCTTCCACTGAATGCTGCAAATTGAGTTATATCTCCGAGAGCTCTTGTAGGACACCTATTCAGTATGTAAACAGCTGTGTGTACAGATTTTGCCCACAAATAGTAAGGTAATCCTTTATCATGAAGCATGGTTTTTGCCATTTCAACTACAGTTCTGTTCTTTCTCTCTACCACTCCATTATGTCGTGGAGTATAGGCGAGAGTTGTCTTTGAATACCTTCATCTTCACACAACTTGTTAAACTTATAGGATGTGAATTCACCCATTCTGTCACTTCTCAGGCATTTTACTCTAAAACCACTATGTAGCTTTACTATAGATTTGATTTTTCTAAAACAATTCAATGCATATGACTTGTATCTTAGAAAGTAAACCCACATCATTCTTGTGCAGTCATCTACAAGAAGCATAAAATACTTGTTACCAACAATGGACTCATTTTGCATAGGCCCACATAAGTCCACATGAACTAACTCTAGGGGATTGCTTGCTCTCCATGCCTGATTCTTTGGAAGCCACTCTCTATGCTGTTTTCCAAGCTGACACCCTTCACAGACTTCATCAATTTCTTCACAGACTTCATCAATTTCTTCTAAGTATGGAAGTCCATACACCATTTACTTCTCTTTGAGTTGTTTTAAACTCCTTAGATGCAAATGGCCTAGCCTTTTGTGCCAGGTCCAAGTAGATTGAGACATACTTGCTTTCAGAGCTATATGATTATTAGGTAATAGTACTAAAGGATAACATCTATTCCTTTTCATTTATACTTTAATTACTAGGCATTCTAGTGAAAGACCATAAAAAATGCTACACATTTTACCTCCAAACAACAAGTAATACCCATGCTCATCCATCTGTCCCACACTTAGTAAGTTCTTATTCAACCTAGGTAGATACATTACTTCTTTGATGTACTTTCTGCCTTTGCTAGTATCAATTACTAGAGTGCCCATTCTAGCTACATTCATAAGCTCACCAGTTGGCATTTGTACTTTGCCTATCAGATTTATCTTTATATCAACCAATAGCTTCTCATTTCCAGTCATGTGGTTGCTGCAACCACTGTCAATATGCCATTCACCATTGACAACTGATCCAGAGATAGTGTTATTGGCATAGAATAAGTTCTCTGTCACCTCTACTTGATTAGCACAGTTTTCCTTTTGCACTAGTTTGCCTGCAGTGCATTCTCTAGCGCAATGTCCAAATTTTTCATAGTTGTAGCATTTAGGCTTCCCCTTATATCTACACTCACCAAAGTGAAATTTAGAGCATACTCTACACTGTGGTTTTGTAATTGCCTGGCCCATTAACTGTGATGAATATGCATTTTGTGCAAGACTAGCATGAAATTTCTGTTGAAACTTGGGTCTTGAATCCTATTTCTTACCCTTAGAATTCCAATCCTTCTGGAACTGAGATGGACCAAATTGAGCTCCACTTCTATTTTGCCCTTTTGGACTCATTGAGAGGGATGTAAATACGTTCCCAGTAGTATCAACAATGTGTAAATCAATCCGTTGTTCTTGGCTCTTTAAGATTGCAATTACCTCATGCAATTTTACAGTCTCCAAACATTTTGTATTTTATATAACCAAACAGATAGGATCATACAGTTTACTTAAACTAATCAGAACCTTTTGCACAAGTCTCTCATTAGATAGAGATTCACCAAATGTTTTCATCTAATTCATCAATTCATTCCTTGTAAGATAACTAGATAGAGATTCATCATCTCACATCCTAGCATATTCAAATTCTTATCTAAGATTTTGAAGTTTTACCGATCTAACCTGATTACCACCATGGTATTCTCTATACAACATATCACATGCCATCTTAGTTGAATCAGCGTTGGCAATCCGAGGGAAGATCTGGTTAGAGACTGCATTTTGTATGATTCCTAGAGCCTTCACATCCTTCATGAACACATAGGTCATTTCTTCATCTTCATCTTCCGTTGACCATTGAGCTTTCTTCTTCTTCTTCTTCAAATCAGGGGTTGTAATCCCCTTTTCTACCAGATTCCATAACCCAAGATATTTGAATATCGTTACCATCTTAATCCTCCAAAACTCGTAGTTCTCACCGGAGAAAATTGGAGTTCTCACCTCCGAGCTTCCAGATCCAGACATCTTGGTTTGAATGTTGATTTCTCTTCTCAGATGATAATGAGACTCCGACGACTTTCACTGAGCTTCGAGTGAACTTCGATTTAGCTCAGTGACTTCACAGGTTTACTCCCAGGCTCAGATGATCGAACCTGGCTTTGAGGCCATGTTAGTGTTCTTGGTTTATCTGAGTTATGCGATATGGAGATAGAGAGAAGATTGAAGGATGGAAAAAGAATGAATGTTTTTCTTCTCTCTAGCCGAAATTGCAGAGAGGAATATATTTCTCTTAATGGAAAAATGAGCATAACACACATGCATTTCATGACTGTTAGCCTTAGCTGGATCCACACACATCACATTTGATCTCGGCCACACATCTAGCTAATTTCTAGGATCACTACACATGGCTATTTTAACCTTACATATTGGAACCTCACACTTGTCATTCTAAAAGACTAAATGCATACACAGTTAGCATTCAAGGCTTCTTATTCACTAATTCTACAAGCAATGCCATTACTTACAATTCTACAAGCAATGCCACCTGGTGCGACAATATTTGGCCGCTCAACTGTCCTGTATGTTTGGTCACTGCAAATCTCTCCAAAAGTGATGACGATGCTGTTTTACATTCATTATAAAATGGAGCTGATGGTGGATTCGTTGTTTCTCGATTTAGATTGGTTTGTTTAGTTTGGTGTAGTTATTTATGTCGCTTAGCAAGTGAAGTGGTCTCGGTTTTTGGTGATAACTTTTGTGTTTCTCAGTATTAGTTTATCTTGTTTGCCATTATTGTGGTAGGTTTATACCGGTGGTTCCCAGTTGTTCTTATTCATGTGGTGGCCAGGTAGAGATTTTACTCTCTTTGTATCTTTTTACAAATTATTTCCACAACATTTTATTGATCACTTGATTAAAAAAAACTTTAAAAGTGAATGATTTTGAGAGATTTGAGAAATTTCGTAGTGTATTTTTTGTATTCACAAGTCTCACATCTCCCACATATTGGAGTGTTTTTTTGCTCACCCCCACTAAAGTGATGTGATCTCAACCCCCACCCCCTAATTGATTGTTATTAAAAGGTAATGTTAGGGAAACCAAATTTCTAAATCAAATTTTGTAAACTATATAATGTGGATGTTGATGATTGAATTATTACTTAAGTGTTGATTAACATTCTTATTTTCTATTCATGACACATCATTTGGTTAGCAAATTTGATTTAAGAATTTGATCTCGCTAGCATTATCTATTATTAAATTAGTTTGGTTTAATTACACTCATTGAAGGAAAGGGATCCTCGTCGGATCCCTTCCACCTGAGGCTCATGAGCCACAAATTCAGACACTTGAAATTTGATCTAACAACTACAGACAGGGGTCCCCATTAAAAGTAATAATAACTTTAGCAGTTGGATTAAATTTTAAGAACCCGAATTTATGGGTCATGAGGCTCAGGTGGAAGGGATCCGGAGAGGATCCCTTTCCCTCATCGAAGTCTATGGAGTCCTTGTGCAATGCATTTAGCCACCTATATAAATGCGAATAACAGTATAAAAAACTTGACTTCAAAGTAGTGGGGTTTGCAGAAGAAGAATTACCTGCAATTCTGTTTATGTTTGGACTTTGAAAAGGTTGACTTTAGTCTTCCACCTTTGGATCATGGATTCTTTTCCCCCAATTAGGGATGGGCAAAATACACGCGATTATAGGTAACTGCAGTTACCCGTCCATTTAAACTTCACGGTTACGGTTATGGGTAATCGTTTAGATAAATAAACGGTTATGGATATAACCGTTTACTCGTGAAATTTAAATGGGTAGTTATGGATATTAACCGCGGTTATAAACGGGTAACCATTTACTCATTTATTTTATATATGTAAAATTAACATTTAGGTTTATTATAATATAATGTAGCTAATTATATATATATATATATATATATATATTATGTTAATACTTTACATTATGGGTTAAATAACCCATGAATACTGTCTGCTAAACAGTTTTCGTAACCCAAGAATACTTAGCAAATATTATATTACTTTCATTGGTAACAGTTAAAAATATCGTTCGTAAACTATTATTTCAATTATTGGAATGATATAAGGACTTAAAAATTTAAAATACGGAAATGGATGATGAATATACCTATAACGGTGTTTAATTGTCAAAAAAAAATTATGATAATTATTTTTTAATTTTCAAGTTGTTAAAAAACATGTAAACGGGTGAAAAAGGGGTAATAGTAAAAAAATTGATAAACGGGTTAAAAATGGTAAATGGGTAAACAGATATTAAACGGTTACGGTTAAATGGGCATGCGGTTATGAGTATGGTTAACCGTTTATAAACGGCTATGGGTATGTGTATAACCGTTTAGACAATTACCCAATGGGTAAACGGTTATGCATGTATTAACATAAACAATTATGGGTAAATAATCATGATTAACCGCCCGCCATAACCGTTGCCCATCGCCCCTAATATTTATCCATTCATTCTCTATCATACCCCTCAGTTCGGTTCAATCACCAGAGCGCAGGCCGGTGTTCGAAGTCACGTACCAGCTTAAAAAAAATACCAATTTGGAAATAACATTGTGTTGCTAAGTTTCAATTTAAATGCATATGGAAAATAGAATGTGTTGGTACATTTCAGTTTAAACGTATCCGGAAAGTGGGAAAAATGTGAGAAAACTCTTGAGATTAAACAACAGTGAAGAATCTAAAAAGTAATAATCCCTTATTTAGAGAAAGAAAAACCCTACTAACATGAGAGAACTATTTTAGGGCTTCTCTCGTCTTCACTTGTTTGGCATGTCGCTCATTCTATAGAGATTCTTCATTTTTTGCATTCAAATTTCTTGAGCATGCCGGCTTATAGGTTTGTCTCTCCTTCTTGATGTGCAATTTTCTTTTTTGACTTAATCTTTTGGATTTTCCTTTTTTGTTTTGCAGCTTGTCTTGTAGGCTTTTTTTACCTTTTAGTTTTTATATTAGAGGGGTTTGGTCCTATGTGTCACATCTCGGCTCGGGCCCCACCACATCCCGGGCTCGACTCTGCCGTAGCATGATATTTTCCGCTTTAGGCTCTGACCACACCCTCACTGTTTTGTTTATGGGAACTCACATAAGAACTTCCCAATGGGTCACCCATCCTAGGATTGCTCTCGCGCGAACTTGCTTAACTTCGGAGTTCCGCTAGAACCCGAAGTCAGTGAGCTCCCAAAAGGCCTCGCACTAGGTAGAGATGAGAATATACATATAAGGTTTAGAGGATCCACTTCCCTGGGGGATGTGGAATGTTACAATCCACCCCCCTTAGGGGCCCGACATCCTCGTTGGCACACTTTCGGCTAAGGATTGGCTATGATACCAAATTGTCACATCCCGGCCCAGGCCCCCACCACATCTCGAGCTCGACTCTGTTGTAGCATGATTTTGTCTACTTTGGGCTTTGGGCTCTGACCACACCCTCATGATTTTGTTCCTGGGAACTCACACGAGAACTTCCCAGTGGGTCACCTATCCTGGGATTGCTCTCGCGCGAACTCGCTTAATTTCGGAGTTCCGCTGGAACCCGAAGCCAGTGAACTCCCAAAAGGCCTCGTGCTAGGTAGAGATGGGAATATACATATAAGGCTTAAAGGATCCACTCCCCTGGGCGATGTGAGATGTTACAATCCACCCCTTTAAGGACCCGACGTCCTCTTCGGCACACTTCCGGCCAGAGATTGGCTTTGATACCAAATTGTCACATCCCGGCCCGGGCCCCCACCACATCCCGGGCTCGACTCCACCATAGTACGATATTGTCCGGTTTAGGCCCCGACCACGCCCTCACGGTTTTGTTTCTAGGAACTCACACGAGAACTTCCCAGTGGGTCACCCATCCTGGAAATGCTCTCGCATGCTACTCGCTTAACTTCGGAGTTTCGATGGAACTCGAAACTAGTGAGCTCCCAAAAGGCCTCGTGCTAGTTAGAGATGGGAATATACTTTTAAGGCTTAGAGGATCCACTCCCTTGGACGATGTGGGATGTTACACAGTGTCTACCTCTTTTTTTCTTGTATTTTCTTTTACAAAGAGAGATAAGGTGTATGTCCCCCCCCCCCTCTTTTTTTTCAAGAGGGATAAGGTGTTTGTCCCCCTCCTCCCCCTCTTTTTCTTGTATTTTTTTTTCAAAGAGAGATAAGGTGTATGTCTCCCCCCCTCCCCCCCCCCCCAAAAAAAAACCCCTCTTTTCTTGTATTTTTTATTTTTCTTGCTTTATAAGGGGTATGGTTTATGTTCTCCAACTAGGTGTAACTTATTTTTTCCATATCAAGTATTTTTGGTTTTTCTTGCTTTATAAGGGATAAGGTTTATGACCCCCTGACTAGGTGTAACTTCTTCTTTTTTCATATCAATAAATTTATCTCATACCGTCGAGATTCTCAAAAAAAAAAAAAAAGAGAGGGAGAAGGCACACAAAGTATATAGCACTCTTGTAGAATCAATCAGAATATAACAAGTTGTTAAGGTTTTTGTTTTTTTTGTTTTTTTTTTTATAGAGCTCTATATCTGTTTTTGTACAAATACACACACGCGATCCGGCCTTTTGAGTTCCTTGTGTAGAGATTGCAGAGATGATTGTATACTCAAAAATTAGTCGAACACATCGACACGCTTTGAAGTTTAAACCGAATACATTGACACGCTTTGAAGTTTAAGTCGAAAGTGGCTTGCGAATGGTCTGAGAGCCAAACGGACTTGCAAATGAGGCAACAAGTAGAAACACTAACTACCCTTGCATAACGGCGTGTGTTCGAACTCCGTCGTTAACTAATCTAACATCTCATCTAACAAAATCTATCGTTTGACAAAAAAATAAGAAAATAAAACTTCCATAGGTTCTAATAGGTGCTAGTCGGGCTGCGAACATGAGGTAGCGCCTAGGCAGTTTTATTAATTTTAACTAAGTTTATTATATAACATATAGATAAATGTCTACTTATACTTAAAAAATACATAATTGTATTAAAATACATAAATTGCAAAATGAAATAACATATATTTTATAATGTACTAGAACAATTATTCAATAAGTCTCTTCTAATTTATTAAAAAAATAAAAATGCAAAATAAAAATATAAATTTTTTGTTCCTAAGCGGATGTCTAGGCAGATCTAGACACTCTTTTTTATTTTTTTAATGCCTATAGATTACGTGGCAGTGCCTTACTACCTAACGCTTAGAACACTGATTATAAACATATATAGCAATCATCATATAAGAAGTGGGGGAGGAGCAGAGCGTTCCTGTCTGTGACTTTGGTGCGTTTTTAATGGGTGAAGGCGGCGACAACGTAAGGATTAATCTTAGGCTGCGCCGGACGGGCCCAACTTTGTTGCTAACAATCTCACTTTGATATCCACACTTTACTTCTTTTCTTCCAATTATCTTCGTCAAGCCATCTCCACAGCCAACGTGCGATAAAGTATTCTTCTCGTTGCCTTCAGGCACAAGAAAATCGC